GTTTTGGATGCACCTCAGCTGCCCAATTTTGCAAGGGGGTAGGAGAAAACACACCCTGCTAATTGTTGCAGAAAATAAGAGATTTTGAGGGTAAAAGAGATCATTATTTCATAGTGACTCTCCCTTTCCCTCCCTCTACTCCAAAACCTATTGATGGTGCACTGAGTGTGGCAGATGCTGCCTTACGCTTGTTGAAGAATCGCATTTCAGTTTGTCCACTCTGCAGTGTTCACCTTAGCGTTTGGTTTCCAGTTTCCTCTGCTGTAATTGGAAAAACGACACTGTCGGGAGATGGAGTGTTGTGTGCCTGACTTCCCCTAACACCAGAGAAAAGTTTTCCTTGATGCCAGGAGATTAGTAGATGTCTTCTTACCATTTTCTTATGATGTTTATGTACTCCGTACCACCTTCAGATATGGTTATGTGGTATCAGAGCATTTTGGAAATGTGGATTCTCCTCATGTTCGGTTCCAGACAGGTTTCTTGTGGAAGATTAAGTCTGAATGATTTTTTAAAAAATGCTGTAGCACCTTTGGGCTGCAAAAATGTGTCATAGAATTGGTAATTTCAGCGATGCTATTGGTTCTAATCAATGTAGTTTTGCAGGGTGATGTCTTTCAAATGGTTTGCTCTCTCCTGCTATAAAGCTGGCCTCACTTTACGTAGTAGCAAAAAAGATGCTTTCTTGAAAGTATACTGATCTATAGCTGCTGTATTTCAGTGCACAGCTTGCACATCAGACTGGGGGCTGGCTTGTGCCATTAGGTCAGACCCTTTTGAAAATCCACTAACGTATACCCCTTAACTGTATTTCATCCAGTGGCAAATTACTGTTAATGAGCTAATTAGATTGGTAAGTTTTCTTCTATTCATGCTTTCTAGAGTGACTTTTAAATGTCAGTGACTTTTTTTTTACTTTGAAATTGCTGAAATGCACAGACCAGTATTTCATTTTTATTTCTTAAAAATCTACATTTCTGTTCTTTTATGTGATTATGTCTGTATGAGAAGTTTCTAATCCTGCAGGTTTAAATTTGGGGTTTAAAGCAAAGAAATGTAAAGAAATCTCAATCTTTTTACTGGATCTATAACTACTATAGGAATATCCATTTATAATAAACTCTATAATAATGATATGTGTAGATTAGGTTCAACATACTGGTTTTATAAATTGACAGGATACCTTGAAAAGGAATCCATCAAACAGACTTTGAAGCTAAAGAGACACAGGAATCCTGTGCCAAATCCAATATTAGGAGACATGCTTCATTTCCCCAGAACGCTTTAATCCAAATTCTTAATTTCATTGAGGACTCACTGTGTGGAGTTCTGCATGATAAGTAGTATATAATATATATATTTTTAAAATGAGATTAATTTCATTTTAAGGGAATATGTTGTAACCGTGGCTATCCCTTCAGTGAAGCAGTTGATTTTTTTTTCCGAGACTGCTGTATCCTATTAAAGGTAAAATTAGTTGTCGAAGTGAGAATTATTTTTTGCCACTTACTAATTTTCCTAGGTTCAGGAAGCAAGAATCTAGTGAGTACTTACATGTAGACATTTGCATCGTATATGAAAAATGAGATGTGTGAAGAGTTTTATTTTCATTTTTCAAGTCATGCCTATCTAATTAGACACCCTCTTGTAAGGTTTTAGAGTTCATACACTATTTCTGATAGCATGGTGCCTGCTTCCGTATCCGTGTGGTCTCCATGGTGAAAGCTGGTAGCAGAGGTGATGTGGATTTGTCTGGGCCCGGAGGAGACAGAAAGCCCTCTTGTCTCTGTCTACCACAGGGCAGTTTTTGGGAGGGGAATGGCTTTTGGAATCCAAAAGACAGGACAGGGCTCCTGTGCCCCTGTGATTAAAGGTGAGAGTGTGCAGGGAGATGGGAGCGGGCATGGATACCTCGCCTGGGCCCTGGGAATAGGATGCTCTTCCTTCTAGTTGCAGCGCCCTCTGTGTGTACTTAGTTTGTGAACTATGGACATCCTGAACACTGGGCCCTTGCATACTTGCAGTTAGAATGTGTAGCCCTCTAAACACTAGCTACTAATCCAGAGGTAGCGAGATGACTTGAGGGATTAGAAAAGAGACTTAAAAGTGACTTGCGTAGCCACAGTGCTGTTTTGGAGCTTAGACGAATTCCACAGAAATTAGTGAAATGTTTGAGTTCATAGGTTAAGTTCAATTCTCCTATTTCGGTGGGGAAAGCATGAGAAGTCCAGTGTGTCTTTATTCCTAGATTTCTGAGAGGCAAATACTAAGGATACTTTGCACAAAAATAAGTACGAGTCAACATCAAATTAAGATCCTCAGAAAGCTGTAGAAGAATGTTTGTGGAATTGCCTCAAAATTCTTCAGTGATGTTGTTCATCCAATTATAAAAGTACTGGTCATATGAGTCAGTTTTAGGATTTAAATATCTACAGAAAGCTGGAAAGTATTCTGATCTGGGATTTTAGATAAGCTTATCTCTATGGGGGGAGAGGGGGTGTAGTGACAAGTTTGAGTCAGGAGGAAAACAGGTTATGCACTTCCTGGGGTTTTTGTGCATTTCTCCTGTTCATCTGTCAGTTTGTTAAATGTTCATCATCTTCTGCAGGATAAAAGTCTGCTCTAATATTTGACCTTTTAAACATTCACTGGTTTTGATTTGGGATATACTCATTATCCCTCATCTTCCCAAGTTAGATTGAAAATGCAGAAAACTAGAGAATAGATCAATAGTGTCAGATTTTCATTCAACTGGCATACACTATAAAATACTGACTTAACTAAATCACTGTGGGCGATGGTTTTCTGAGAGACACAGAAAGTGAGAAAAGTGGATCGCTGGTGAAAATTACCAAGAAGAGGAGAGATACAAAGTACAGATTAATTTTTTTCTTGTAATTTTATGTTACAATATTTGTGGAGGCTGAAACCTGGGCTTCAGAATGAGACAGTAAGTAATAGAGAAATGAAGTATGAGAAGAGCGAAACGTTGTCTGCTCCCTGAAGGCATTACGTCTTGTGAGATGAGGCCCCTCAGGAATGGATTTTCCTATGATTTCTAAGAGATTAGGGATTCCAACCCAGGAAGATGGTGGATGATTTTAAAAAGAAAAGGTCATTTCTGTTTGGTGTTGGATTACCATCCTACAAATCAGCATTCATACCTGGGTCCTGCTGTAAGTTTCTCTGAGCTGTTGGACGGGTTATTCAGTTTGCTGGGCTATTCCACTTCTCATCTGTAGAGTAAGAATGAGAATGCATCGCCCCTTCTGCTCTCTTCTCTATGTCTGTTGGTCCCTGTCCAAAGGATCCCATAAAGTGTGCGTTGCTGTATAGCTGTTTATGACTCATCCAGCAGGAAACCAATCTGAAACTCCTCGATGCCACCATACATAAATAATGATACTGTCCTCTCTTGTGATGTTCAGCTCAGAGGACTGTCACTAGCAATTACATTCAGCGTTATATGTGAGGATGCCAAGACCCCCAGGGTATGCAGGGTTATATAATTATTCTACTGTAAATAAAACCCAAGCACTGATTACTGGTATTTGCATACTAATAATCAGGGTTTCTGGTTGGAATGAACAGAAATGTGTTTATCCATGGATGATTTTACTGGTCATGCATACAGTTTACAAATGACAATCTTTTGGCTGTAAATATAAGTAAGAATCTGCTGAATTCCACCAGACAGTATTTTTAGAATGACAGTGCTATTTCTTGCTTCTGGGCATATCTGTGTAACGTGCTAGTTCCAGTGGAATAATGTGGTTACAACAAGAGGCAGGATGTGGCTACCATCTGTGTCTGTCTGCCACTTGTTAGTGTGTTGAAACAAAACCCAGAGTTGTAAAAAGATGACCTGTTAGGATCTTTTTTGAAATCTAGATGGCTCAGCATTTATGCAGCGCTTCCCTTCTCTCAACCTCATGAAATTAGAGGTTAAAACTTAGAGAAGTTGAAGCCTTGTGGGGCCTGAAGCTGCAAAGTTGAAGTACAGACATTTGAATGCACAAATTCTCTCAATGCCCCAAGTCCTACCTAAACACTGGCATACCATCTGGATTCCTGCCCGGACACAGGAGGGATGTACGAGGAGAATGAGTTTCCTAGATGTACTCTAGGCCATTTGATCCCCTTTGCAGTTGATCAGTTTTGAGGTGGGGGCACTGACCTAAGCAGACTTGTTAGTGTGACTCAAGGCTATTCCTGCCCTTTGAATAATCAGTAGTAATTATTGTTATTAATGAGGGGTAAACCACATTTGCTTTACTATGCAGTGTTTGTTACACCAACTTGGTGTCTTCCGCTGAAACCGCAAGAAAATGTGATCACTTAGGAATGGTAGACTATGTGCTGTCCTGGCACTGACTGTCCTGGATCTTCTGTGTTGGGACCCAAAAAACCCGAAGTGTAACAGCTGTATCTGAGTATCAGAGGAGCCAAGTATTTTTACATTATCTGCCAGAAGTTCTGTGCTGGCAGCAGGTGCTGCAGGGCCTTCCCCGTGAGCAGAGAGAATTTGAATCACGTGTGGAGGCACTCAGCGCTGTTCTGAGGTATGAAGTGCAAAGATGACTGCTGACGTTACTCAAGGGGCTCTGGGGGAAGTACACACAGGATGCAAGTAACAAATGAGAAATATTTCTGTAGCACTCTTGAGTAATCATGTTTGGTGGTCCTTGTAAATTAATGCCATTTCCCTTAAATTACACTGGCTGTGTTAACAGATCAAAAAGAACTCCTTTTCCAGTACAATTTTTGGTACATTTAATCACTTGTATCACTGCAGTTGCTTTGCTTTCTGAATATCCTTTTGATTTAAGTCTGTTTTTTTTTTCCTGTGGCTGAACTGCATTGCACTGTCCAGAAATCGGTTTGGGAAGTCCTTGCACATGTTTGGTCTTGGATTTTGCTGTGTCATGGGTGAACTGGCAGCTGCAAAGTCTGTCAACCAGTTTCTATGTCAGTGAACTAACATAATAATGTGTTTGCAGGGTCAAGCTGTTGCTCAGCTCTGTTCGACTATTCCCAATGTTACTGTTTTTGGAACAGCTTCATCTTTCAAACATGAAGCAATCAAAGACTCAGTAACTCACCTGTTTGACAGAAATGCAGACTATGTTCAAGAAGTAAAAAGGTAATCTTTCCTTTTCCTGAGTTAGGGTTGTATAGTATCTGGCAAAATACTGTGAAAGACAGCACGCTGATTGTGTTTGTGGGAAGAGATTACATTTGTGAGTTTGGGAGCTGTTGCTTATTCCAGATACTCCATCTGTCCACTGCAAGGGAGAAGATAGCAAGCATGTCCCTTTTCTTTATAAGGAACAAAAGCTTTGTTAGTGCATGTTCACATTTGGGCATCTGTTGCGAGCAAAGTAAACTCAGTGAAAAAGAATAAAGGTCTTAACAGAAGGATGTACTTTGCCGTTATCTGCATACGTAGTAGCTCACTGTAATGCACTGAGTAAGATATTTTCAGTGGATCTGTAAGTTATCCAGGTTTTGGAGTTTTCTGGTGTGTTTCTGTCTGCCTGGGTTTTATCCTTTGCCAGGGACTGATATCAGAGCACAATGTCTGTTTTAATTTCAGATCTTTAGATTTTGTTTGTTTGCATTCAGATTAGAATCATCCTGTTGCCTTTTGAAGTCATCCTGTGTGTTTCTGTTTACATGCTTTCAAATGCTTTGTTTTCCAGTCCGTGTAACTGTTTTTAGATGTTGATGTTGATACAGGTGGCGAAACTTTAAAATTGATCAGAAGATCTTAGTAAAAAATGTCTTTTTGATTTTGCCTGTCAGAGAGATAAGAATAATGTTTTCCCTTCATCTTGTGTCTGTCAAAACACTAGATTATGTAGCTGGGCATAAACCACGAAGTTTCTCAAAGGGGCATGCCGAGGTAGTACAGTCGACAGGCTTCCTGTCAAACTTACACGTCCCTCAGCGTGGCATGTGAAGTCTCGGAAGGTCTCTCCGTACGAGGGTTACTAGCCCTCAAAGAGTATATCGCAGAGTTTTGTCTGAGCTGTTAGCAATCCAGGCTGGTGGTGGAGGAGAAAGCAGGGTGTCCTGCTGCTGTTTCTGGCACACTCCCAAGGGCTTAAGAGAACACTTGAAATGACCCATCACAAAGGAAGTTTTAGAGCAAAGGAAAATTTTTCCATATGGGAAGTTTCACCAAAGCAGATAGGACTCGTCCAGCAGATGACACCCCTGCCGTTTTCTTACAGCTCAGAAGAATTGCAGCACCTTCCTTCAGCCCTTCGATAGCCTTTCTCTTGGGGAAGTATACATGCCTAAGTGTCTTACTGCCCCTGGAAAATTGCTGTAGTGAGATGAAGACTGAATTCTAGCAATCCCCACATTACAAACGTGGATTCAGCAAGAAAGAACACTTGAGAACATGAACAGAGTTCAGTACAAACCTTAATCCTAACTCTTGGCAGGGTCAGCAGAAGATGTGATCTAAGTAGGTATGTGATGTGGGAGCAGATACAACAGAAATCAGTGCTAAGAAAAAGGAATAAAGACCCTTTCACTTCTGATAGCTTTATGATTGCCCATAATGTTGGCTGCTTCTGCCCTTCATTAGGACAGTTCCTTTTGGGACGCTTCCCTGACACCACCCCTGACTCTGCATAACAGACTGTAACTACTGAAATCAAAAGGAAACCTGGTTTTGAAGGGGTGGAATTCTGCTCTCTAGAGTTGTTAAAACTGGTTTTGGTGATCTTGCATTTTCACATAGTTTTTCACCTCGCATTAGACCAATGAGGCAGAGAACCAGTGGGTACAAAAGGTAAAATGCAGATGCAGTGAGCTAGATTGTGCCTTTTTCCTGGTCTAGAGGTGTGTAGTATTAGCACAATTGATAGTCCTGATGTGAAAGTGAGAATGACAGCCTGTAGAATGTGCCAGTACTCTGATTTGTTGCTCAGATCTGTGTATTTTCACTTTGCATTGAAAAAAAATAAAAAAGTACAGTGGTAATTCTGAGACCACTGTAGAGACAAATTGTCTTTTGGAAGAGGCAGTGGGGGGAACAGTGTAGTTGTTTGTTTGGCGGGATATTAGCTGTATACTGTGCTCTGTATGATTAACGTTTGGCTGGCCAGCAGGGAAGACAGCTAGTCTCAATTGCCTGCTGCACACTGGGTCAGGGGGAGTCCTAAGGGAAGGGGAGGGCTCTTAATTTCTTGAGAGTTGGTGAGCAGGAAAGGGTGGGCCTGTGGTGGAGAACAGACAGTGCTAGGAACCTGCTTTATTGCGAGTGACTGCGGTATTCCAGGGAAGAGCTTTCATCGAGGAGCAAAGGCCAAAAAAACCCAAACCCCAAACAAATGAACAAGTGAAAAAAACCAAACCAAAACCCCAGAGGGGATATGAATGTGGAAATGTTCCTAGGGGCTGAGAAATCCCTTCAACCGTGGAGGCCACTGAAAGTTGTTCAATTGCAAAGTCATTATTAATTTACAGTGAAAGCTCATCCAGTGGCCTGAATGTAAACAGGTTATTGCCCCACATACAGCAGCAGTCCCAAAGAGTAGAGTTGTCTGATTTTGTTGTTGTTTGCAACCGGTAGGTGTCTGAGTATCTGGAGAGGAAAGAAAGATGCATTACAAACCATAAAGTTTTACCTCTTTCCTGACTTCTAATGGCAGTTACACCCCTGCAGAAGGCATGGGCATCAGGAGCTAAGGGAAATTCCTGGGGACTAGGTGCTATTGACTGCCCCCCCAACCTTTGATAGTCTCCAGGGTGAGGTTTTGTCCTGGTGTCTGCACCAGTTATTTGCATAATTGTTTAAGCATATTAATCAAGAATTTTCTACTGCTTGGGCTGTTGACTGGGTTAGGAGGTAGGATATTAGGGTTAGGAGGTAGGATATTAGGCTTAGATCAAACTAGCGATAAGAGTTTGCAGGCTGGTTATTTCGACAGAAAAAAAAACCTAAATCAGTGTATTTGGCTTGTTTTTTTTTCCTTCTTCTTCAGCATCATATTGACATTGCATTCACAAAGCTATTTATTGATTGGAAAATTATAAACATGCAAACTGTTTATTGAAACAGGCTAAATACTTTCTGCTTTCTGTAATATGGCCTGATTGTATCCGTAGAGCTGGGTATCTAGCTCTTGGTGCCTTCTCTTTGTGCTTGACTTAACTCTTTGCTCATGTCTAGTTGATACAAAGTCTGAAACAAAAGACTCTTTAAATAACTTCACAAGGACATCATTTTAACTCAGAACAACTAGGATGAGAAGATCTGTTTCCTTATGAAGTCAGGAAAAAAAATAGAAGAAGACATAAATAACAAAAATGTCTTTTGTGTCTATGACATTCATTGACCTAAACAAAAAGACATTCTCTGACATTTGCGTTCACTCAAAAAGAACTTTATATCTATTGCCCGTTTTTTGGTAATACAATTTTACTGAAAGCACTCAAAAAGGGGGAACAAGATGGTTTCCCACTCTTCTAAGCCTGAAAGGAGTGGGTTGACTGGCCCAATGAACTCGCATTCCACCATTGAATGAGTTTGATTTGTCTTTTGATGGGGAGAAAGTTTTCACGTAGTCAAAGCCTCAGCCTTAGAGTCCTTTCTAGAGTACCTGAAAATGTTAGTATTATGTTAATAATCAACCTGTGTCATGCTGGCTGACCAGTCCTGTGCATCTTATTGGAAAGTGAGATTTCTTTCCTGTTTTTTAGAATCTCTACAGATGGAGTAGATATCGTTTTGGACTGTCTTTGTGGAGAAAATACTGGGAAAGGCCTCAGTCTTCTCAAACCACTTGGGACTTACATTTTATATGGTGAGTGGAAAAAGCCAGGTACACATTTCAAAACCAAAGCTTTGCAAAACTTAAAATCTCTTAAAATCACCCATGCCACTCCTTCCAGAGCTGGAGGCCGCCATGTTATACTTTCTCAATTTGACCATTTCTAATCAAGGATTTTAGTGAAGCTGAGCATGGACTAAATTGTTGAGAAACAATAGGTAATACAAAGACACTCTTAAAAATTTTTTTTAACAAATTGCAGTTAAACTGAACACGTTTCAGGTTGTTAAACACTATTGGGTGACATGGGAGAAGTGTAGGAGAAAGCTTAGATCTCTCATTCTACACACTATAGGAATTGCAGTGTGTCCAAGGAAACTAATACAGTTCTTGTGGAAGGGAAGCTTGAAGGAAGATTTCAGGAAGAATGCTATTGTTTTTGTGTGACACGACTTTGAGGAATTCAAGCCCAGGCTGCTGTTCACAAACTTCCATTCATGCACATGGGCTGCTCCACAGCATCAGTAAACGTGTCTTTCCTGCCGTTCTGCCAGGGCGCCGTGCCGTGTGTCGGTACAGCAGGCCAAGCTTCCGTAGGGGGACAGCTGAAGGGATTGCTAAACGTCTGAAATGAAGAATGTGTCCGTATCGCAGTGGAAGGTGTCGTGGCATCGTGGATAACCATACCTGCTTCCTTGGGCTTTCAGCTCGCTAGCAGGGTGTCACTTGGATGTCTGCTTGGACTGGGCAAGCCAACCTGCCCGTGGCCTGTTCGTGATGATGTCCCTGGCAGTGCATTGTTGTTGTGTTTGTTAACAGGCTGCAGTGTACAGTGCATTTGTGTTCACACAGGTCGTGGTCAGATAAAGGCGTCTTTACAGATGCGGAGAAAGGACAGCTGTGTGGTGAAGGCTGCTAAATATTAGTGTGTCAGGGACACATGGCAGAGAAGGAGGGAGCTATAGAAGAGTTTTGGTTTCAAGATGCCTAGTAGCGCTTGACCTGTTCCTGGTTTTGAAAGATTTGATAGGTTGTTTTTGTAATCTCAGAATACCTGTAAACTTGTAGGGCTCAGTCACCTTGGCCTCTGTTATTTATTCCCAAAGTGGAAGGATGTCTGCTAATCCCTTTTAAACTTCGGGGAAATTTTTTTTCTAAAAGATGAATCATGGAAATGGCTTTACATATAACAAATGGTCTGGTCGTCAGCATGTAATAAGTTGTGTGTGTATGTACTCATCTTTTACAGGTTCATCTAACATGGTTACTGGGGAGACAAAAAGCTTCTTCAGTTTTGCAAAATCAGTAAGTATCCCAGTGGTGTGATTCTGCTTGTTCCTCTAACTTAAGTCTTTTCTGTAGCGTTTTCATATTTATCATTATTGTTTATCTCTGCTAAGTCATTACTTCAGGTGTTGCTAAAGATCATTTTTCTGACTGCAATGTGGTTCCTCGTATCTGAAAACACTGTCAGGACAGAGCGGTGAATTAAAGGAGGTACTAACGGAGAGGTATCTCTTAAGATGGGGCTTGTGTCCAGCCATTTCCAGCTTTTCAGAAGTTAGTTCCATACAGAAATGCATTTTTCAGTTCTCCATGTTCACTTCCAGTGACATCAAAGAGATGATGTTGCATTTGTTTCTTAATGGATGGTGTCAACAAATCCAAAATTCAGATGTTAAATCCTTTTTCTTCAGCTTACTACAAGAAAAGTCTGCTCAGGAATCCTACAGATTGGAAAAGGGGCAAATAAACTGCTAGCGAGAAACAAGTTGACCGGGAGTCAAAGCGATTCCTTCAGACAAGAAAAACAGAGGGAGAAGTCTTGACTGAAGATCTATCATCTGATCTTTCTGCCAAGAGCTCATTTAGAGCTTCCAGCAGCAATCCCTTCCCAGGAGAAATTAGCTTCGAAAGTCTCTGTGTAGCTGAAAACAAGATAAATAAAAGACTGTAGCAAGAAGCTATTCTTTCCCTTCTGCATTTCCTTAATGGTTGTAGTGACACCATCTTTGATACTGTCATGTGATTGTGAACTAAAACAAGATAATCTTTACTCTGGGGGTTTTTACTGTTAATATAAACATATCCAGATGTGTATAATTTATAGGGAAGGTTGGCCCAATGAAATCAATTTCAACGGATATGTTTTTCAGGTAGTACTGGTACTTATTGACTGAATAAATATGAATAAATCGAATTAATAAAAAGTAGCATATAAAATTTTGTATAAAAGTATAATTAGTTTTGTATGTAATTATACTGCGAAATTAACTCATCAAAATTATATGAACATTTTAATTAAAAATTGACCCATTCAAATAAAACTTGCCAGGAAGTGAGATCTCAGTCTCAAGGATGCTCTTGGGCTAAATGAGGTAAAATGATTTTGTTAGATATTATGAGGCTTGCTCAAATATCACAAACGTAATAATGGGTGAAAAGGAGATGGAAGCTGCTCAGGAGTGCATGGTTTCCCTGGTTTTGAGAGAAGAGTGATAGCCAAGAGTTGCTTGTGAACGTTTCGGAAGCTTGCACGGCTCTCCTGAGAGAACAAAGAGGGGTAGCAGAAGTACGAAGGGAGGTCCAAACTCTTTACTTCTAGACCCTCATCCTAACACCAGACCTGTTCACCATTCTTCTGACACCCTAATCTCATGCAACACAAGTCTGTGTTTCATTTCTGCATGTCAGTCAGCTGCAAACTTTTTTGCCTCTCCCTTAAATAAAATCCTTGCTGCTTCTCTTGGCCGTTGCTTCGGATCTGACAGATGAGTCATGTATCACATCTGCCCAGACAGTTTGCTTGTGAACTTGCCTGTGCATTTCTTGAAAAATGTTTTTCTAACCCTGATGTTGTTTATTGCTTTCCAGTGGTGGCAGGTTGAGAAAGTAAATCCTATCAAGCTGTATGAGGAGAACAAAGTCATTGCTGGATTTTCCCTGTTGAATCTACTTTTCAAACAGAACCGAGGTGGCCTGATCAAGGGTGTGATGGACAAACTCCTAAATTTATATAACAGTAAGAAGATCAAGCCTGTGGTTGATTCATTATGGGCTTTGGAAGAGGTAGGAGCAAAATTTCTTTCACCATTTTGAAATTTCTGAAATACATGCACCTTTAGATGTAAAATTAGCTTTGAATGTGTTTTCTAGTTATTAATGTATTCTGCTTTTTACTTGTGCACAAGTTGTCTCCAAAGCCCCTGCTATTCAGAAACTCCATGATCCAGAGTTATCCACACATCTACTTAATAAATATTTCTGGAGTTTCAAATGCTCTGTGCCAAGTTCTTGAATATACTAATAAATTTGGGGTTTCAATCTTAGAAAATTGTTTCTGCTTCCTAAGTGCATGAAACATGTGACTAACAAGTGTGGTGTGAAATTCAGACATTATAATTGAAAACAACTGAAAATCTGTTCTGAGGAAAAGATCTAATACATAGGCTTTAGTTTCAGTGTTTGTGCTAGCAAACCTCGGAAACTTGGAGGTTTTCAGGAAGTTACTGAAAATGTATCACAGCCAGTCAGATCAGAAATCACTTCTAATGTGCGTTACGTTTGTGGAGTGTGGGTGTTTTGGTTCTTTTTTCCCTTCTAATTGCTCAGCTTTCCTTAAAGATGTGTAAAGAAACTATCTGATCATAGCGTGGTCAATTATAAGCCCCTTGTCCAAATCACTGTTTCTGAGACCTTTCTCTATACTTAAGGTGCTCGTAAATGACCGTAAGTATTTTTGGAGGTGTGAACAGACGTTAACGTACAAAGAAAGAACATGATTATAGTAGCACCGCGTCATAGTAGCACCTTGCATCATAGCACCACCGTGGTTGTGGACACAGGTGAGGTATCTTGAGTTGTGTGGCGGGACTCCACAGCCTGTGACGGTTCTTGGAGCAGGATGCATTGCGTGTTCACTGGGGCTTGTACGTGCCTGGCCCAGGTTGTATGCCAAGGCGTGTCCTGCCTTAGGTTGAGCTGATGTGGGAACTCTGTGTCTCTTCATGCTGTCGCTACATCTGCCCCACTGTACCCCAACATACCGCTTCGTGTGGTACAGCAGATGCCAGCCGTCCAGCGCCATATGGGCTCCTTTTGCTCCTCTCCAGCAAGACAGAGAGGAAGGACGGCTGCCCCAGGAATCTCTTCCTGCTCTTCTAAAATGGGTACCTGAGGCCCCCCTGTCACTGACAGCAATTCGGTAACACCTCAGGGTTTACCAGCCTGGGGCATGGGAGTGGCTGATTCTCACCATCAAAGTCCATGAGGGCAATCAGATGTTGTGATACAGAGCAACTCCTCAGGCCAGACGAAATCCTCTGCTGTTGCCTGAGAGGGAGAGCCCTTTGAAGAGCAGTGTAAAATAGAAATGGGATCAGATTTAGGTTTTTGATGTGATTTCTTTTTTTTTTAAATGTAATTATTAAATAAGCTTATGAAGTATTTAAAAAATCTAAGTGGCACAAGTCTCTGGGCCTTTTGCAATTTCTTTAGTCATGTAAATACGTCCTTTTCATGCATTGGTGAGTAACAAAAGGATAATGAAAATAGTAACAATAGCTTTAAAAAATCCTGATCAAGGGCATAACACGAAAAATTACGCATGGTAGGCTGCTCTTAATAGTCAACTTGATGGGAATTTGTTGGGAAACTTCTGTTTGATAACATTTCATTTAACATTTGGCAGTAACATGCACCATCCCTACCGGTAGATTGTGAAATGTGTAAATACATCTGTTAAAAAAGCACAGTCTAGAAAACTACAGCTCATTTATCATGCCTGCTCGCTTTCCGTGAGCTATCTGGTAATTTACAAAGGAAATGCCTGGCTGGTATCTTGAGGGATGTAACAGTGCTAGAGGTGTCCTTAATCAATTGCAAAGTATTACTGAAATATTACTCGGGCATTATAATTTTGAGGATATATTTTTGTGAGTATAAAAATAACTTAGGGCTGCCTCTCAGGTTAATATGATACACGTAAAAATGTGTCATAGCTGGGGACTAAATGGAACCAGACTGAAGAAAGGTTGGTATGTATTTTTGTTCTGTTTTGGGAGGTTTCTTTATTTAACTGCATAGCTCTAACATCGCCCCCCTTCAGAGTCTGGCATTTGATTGCTTTTCATTTCCTATTGAGTAAGCCTGATTTTCTCCCAATGTCCACTTTCATTTGACCCTTCTCAATAGTCTTCATTAGAGACTAGACCAATATGACCAGTTTTTACCACTGATGTTTCTTGAGGAAATTTCCCAACCCATAAAAGCATTGAGAATAAATACACATAACTAGAGAGCGGCAGAAAGGTGGACTCCCAGCATGGCATTTGAAAATGAGCCACTGAATACTTTTCTGTGGAAGAATATCACTCTTTTCAGAGGGTCACGGGAGAATCCATTTGTCCTCTGACTAGTAATTCTGCCATAGAGATGAGCTGGAATCCAATAAATGACATTCAAAATAAAAGTATTTTAAGGAAAAATCTCAGAGGAGCCTTAACCATGGGACACTTTTCCAAATGTTTGTTGTTAAATAACCTGAATGTATCATCACATACATAAAAACCTGTGGTCTCTATACAAAAGGCATATCCCCAACATAGCCCTTCAGCTTGCTTTATTCACTCTGCGTCTGCAGTTGTTCTCATGTACTCCTTCTTTGTCCAAATATCAACTCACAAATTCATTCAGACTCTCTAAAGCCAATGTCGAAGCCTCCTGTTTTTCTTCCAAAAGTGTATTACAGTACAAATACTTACCTTTTCAGTCATGTATCAGTTGCCATAGCCATCTGTGTATCAGAGCTGAAGAGCATCTTTGCAGCCTTAAAAGACGAAGAGTTGTATCTACGGTCGTGCTCCCCTTTGCTGCCTAAGGCTGGTTGCTACAGGACCACTTCCTTGCGTGATATCCCCAGACTTGAGGCTTTATGTTCTAGGGCTTGTGAGAACAGCCAGAGAAAGGTTTTGTGTCTGTTCTAATAGGTCTCTGTGAATTGTGTGAAAAAAGATGTCATTGTTCTCAAAGCCTGATACGGTTCCTTGAGCAGCATTTATTTCTTAATACTTTCTGCAGGAGTACACAGTTTGAATTTAAAAGAATATACTGATTAGAGAATGTTGTAATTGCAGTGAGATTTTGCATTTTAAAGTGTTTCAAGTGGCAGTAATACAGGGTTTAGAGAAAGTTATTAGATTCCCATTTCTCTCTCACGCAGCATGTGTGAAGTGATGTCTAGTTGATTGCCAAATAATATTCGAGATAGGAGTGTTCAGAAGTTGTTAGACAGACTTAGCTTGATACTATTCCTGTGGAACAATGCAGGTTTGTCTTGAGTGTCAATGAGATCATCCTAATTAGGATATAATCCTTTCTGCTGTTCTCATGTCTTTGTTTTAGGGCCTCATCCAAAGGCCATGGAAGTCGGTAGAAGGACTCGTTAGTTTCACTGGTCTTTGTTTTAGGATGAGGGTTGCTCTGCCTCTTCAGTACAGGCTGCTTAAATGAATTTGCCCATTGATTGAAGAGAGAGTGGGACAGAATTTATTCTGGATGGAAACTTAGAAGTGACTTTGTTTTCCTCAGTGCATCAGATTATTGCTGGCACAAGGGAGATCAGGATCTAGACTATTGACTACGGCTATGGAGCAAAGCTGTTTGTGTTGCTGTGTTATCTGTTTGTGTTGGCTTGGGAAGGGTAAATTTATCTCAAATTTACATCCATAAATCATAGTAAAGTCAAGTCTGTTCTCAAGTAGGCCATTAGAGCCATTTTATGATGTGAATGTAAGAAAGAATTAACTAAGAGAGACAGTAACAAAATCCATAGATACTTTAAAATGGAAATCTCACTGGGGAATTATTCGTCATGAGATGAGTGAAGTCATGCAATACATTAGCTGCTGTTGAGATGTCTTGCTATTTTGCAGCTATTTGTTTATGTGTTCAAGTGTTTAAAAGGTGAGATCATTTGTAGATGGTGCTTGGTTAAAATACTGTTCTGTAGTAAAAAGCTGATTGGTAAGATTGCGTTTCATTACAAATAGTAGCGTTTAAAACAGAATTAGAATTCATGAGTATGTTGAGCTTTGTGGCTGTTTCTTTGTTAGTAACTACTTATCTAATCCTTAATTTGTAGTTAGTCACTCTTCTTCATTCTGATGAATGTGTAGTGTGCATTTATGCACTAGCTTTCTCCAGAGGGTCTGTGACAGTGGACTGTCCAAATTAATAAGCAGGATGAAAACTGAATATTCCCAAAAAACTAGGGGTTTTGAATAAAAATGTACATGTTGCGCTTTTCTATTCAAATTCTGTTTTCTTCAGCTTTTTATAGTTGCAAAAGAAAACAAATAGTCAAGGTAGAACGGGTTATTGACATAGAAGTTACATACACCTTCTTTGGTGGCTTGCAGCAGTTAAAAGTAGCACTGGTAGCGTGTAAAACAAAACTCACAAGTTCTTGCACATGAGCTGCCAGTCCATGAACTATGTCCATGTCCTCAAAATACCTGTAGGCCCCTTTCCCCGAGCGCTAGAGAACCTGTTTCAAGAAGGGCTCTCAGTCTGTCAGAAAGTTTTCAGCCTTGTGCTGTTTTGGTCCCTATGGGTGTCCAGTGAGATTACGGAAGATCACCCTGACTGCAGGTCCGTGTTGTGCACCGAAGGGTTCCTTGCGTTATCATCTCTCGGGTGATTTAAAGGGAGTGCACTGTTACGTAGTAATAATGGTATCAGTGACCTATACTGCCTTAGGCCCAGTGAGAATGATGAAGACACTGAAAGAGTTGGTACTTACTCTTAAAAAGTAAGAGGATAATCTGATAATATTCCAAGATCAGGCTGGTACCTTATAGTAGGCACTGAACGTCACCCCAGGTCGTCGTTCTGCAGCGATAATGTAATAATGTCTTTAGCAACTCCTTACCTACCAAATAGTAATGCAACAGCTGTAGCCCAGAGCCAGGAATATACTGTGGCACTTGGCTGTGATTGAAATGAGTGGAATCAAGGCACTAAATACAATTACAGATCGAGCTCTGTGGATCTTGAAATGACTGTCAGAG